ACCCTCACGAAGCAAAGGTATTGAAGCTAGCACTTTCAACACTCTTAACTCTCTGTGTTTTCCTTGAGTTTTCCTCAGAGTTCTAATTCAGCCATCGGAGTGTTCCCGCCGGGAGAGCTCCCTAGGAACCCTTCACATTCCTCTTCATCTCAGGTGTCGTCTATCACAGCTAGGAGCCAAGTTTCAGCCAGCTAGGAGTGCCCAGATCGTGCTGCATTAGTTACCATCAGTCATAGCTCTTTTTCTTGATGGTGATTCTATTATTGGAAATGTGCTTTAAACATATCATCCTTCTCATTACCATCAAGTAATGGAGAATCCTCATCCAATCTTCCACAACATCAACATGTTCATACTCAATTGGGTCAAGACTTTCAATTTTTCTCCTACAAAGCAATAAATGATACATTAGATGCAATGAAAGCATAAAAAAAATAAGCAATCATGAAACATAAAACAGTTACCCATTCATCACATGTAGGTTGCAATGAACATATACTAGGTCATTGAGCCTCTGATGCTCCAATCTATTCTTTCTCTTCATGTGTATATGTTCAAAAACACTCCAATTGTATTCACATCTAAATGAACTACACGTCCAGCTAAAGATCCATACATCAATTCTTTTCAAATTTGGAGTGTCATAACCAAATCTCGGCCACCATTCACCTATATGCAATGAAATTGAGTTGATTTAATTTATAAAATAAAATTGAAATAATAAACATGTTATAAGGAAAAATATTTATTACCTAGAGGCATTGACTTATGTGTCTTCATTGAGAAAGGTCTTCCAAAATTACCACAACAACTTTAAAAAATAATAAGCTTTTTGTTTAGCTTTATCTCCACATCATTTGATTTGATTTCAAGCTTTTCAATGACATAAAAAACTATAAACATAACAGTCAGGGATTTAACTTTTGATTTCGGATCATATTGGAAGGTTGGGTTAAAATAATACCCTATAAGATGAAGCCGCTTATGCATTTGTCTATTCCATCTTCTATCAATAATATGAAAGTCTCAATGCCCTAATAAGTGGTGATGTGAAACCCATAATCATTTTGCATTGTGCCCAAAATTCAGAATCCAAAACTATTTTTATTACTTTCTTCCCCTTTGCATCTTTGGCATACCTAGAGTCAATAAAACTCCGATCTGTCACCAAAGTTTGCAAATCATGCATGTATTTCAAAATGTTATCCAATGTAATGAAATTAGTTGCAAAATGAGTGGCTCCAGGATGTACTATCTCAGTATAATCAGGTCTTTTCCTTATCATTAAGAGTAAAAAATATGATTGTAAACAAATTTGGTAATTTTAGATGCACGTTGAACCAAATTTGCAACATAATTTGTTTCCCCAATTTCCTTTAACATCAAGTTTAGACAATGTGCTACACAAGGTGACCAATATATCCATGAAAATTCTACTTCCAACAATTTTCTTATAGCTATATAATTTGCAACATTGTCAGTGACCACCTGAACAACATTTTCTAATTTTACCCAATCAATAACTTCCTTAAACAAAAGAAATAAATTCTCTGCACTCTTGACTGTTTCAAAAGCATCTACAAACTTCACAAATGCAATTCCTGTAGGACAATACACTAAAAAATTAATTAATGTTCGGCTATGTGTATCTGTCCAACCGTCAGCCATTATAGTCCAACCATATATAACCCAACCCTTATGGAGTTTATCAACTGACATTTAAACCTCTTGAACTAAATCCTTCAACAAATTGGTCCTACAATTATGATATGAAGGAGCTTTGTACCCTGAACTAATAGTAGCAAGTGCATCCAACATAGGCTGAAAATATCTTGAACGCAAAGCATTCAAGGGAATACAAGCATCACACAACCACTTCATAACAACACGGTCCACATGATTAATTGCTCCCTTAGATGCCAATACACTCTTAATACCACGTTGTGCACCTGGAGTGGTCCGTGGAGCAAAATGGCTAGGTATTAACCCTAAAGATGTTTTTCCCTTTTCCAATGATGTAGTTTGTTTTTTCCCTTAATAAGTATCATGTGTACTATATGGATCTATTTCCCTAATCTCAACATCATCATCATTATCATTCCTTCCATGCTGTGTTTTATTGTCAACAAAATTCATTGGCTGCTTTTCACTTCTTTTTCTTTCATTGATTTCATTCAACGATTGCTCCATTTTGTATTTTACATCATAGGGTACTTTATGACTAATTGTAATATCACCTTTCCTTTGGGCAAGATGTTGTTTTGTTCTATTAATCCCTCATTTAAAAGTCTTTTAACAATAAAGACATGCCCTTGACTTTGATCCTTTAAGAGGGTCAACTTTAAGGGAAACATGCTTCCAAGCAGAATCAGATTTTGCTCTAGCATTTGATGAAATGGACTCTTGTGATGGAGCTAGATCAAATGTATTAGTATTTGGACTTTGGGATTCCATCATCTTAATTCAACCACAGAAACCCAACTCAAAAATAAATCCTTTCATACAAGCACAAAATATAAAATTTAGATTTTATAATAGCACCATTGACTAAAAGAACCAACCAAAATATAAAATCACTCTATACAAGCACATTCATTTATTAATAATAAATTAAAAATGTAAAAAATCAAGAATCAATTTTCATGGGAGGTTTATGAGTGCATATGACAAATCTGCATATGAAAATCAATTTTCATGAATCATGATAATCTACATATGAAAATCAAGCATGATGGTTTTGGTTTATGGGTGCAATCCTTACGGAGTGCATATGAAAACCAATATGATAATCTGCATATGAAAATTTGCATATGAAAACCAATATGGTGTTGGTTTATCATATGAAAACCAATATAATAATCTGCATATGAAAATTTTTATCATATTGAGTTTTCCAATAAAAGGTAAGCAAAAACTAATTAAGCAAATAGTCTGCATATGAAAATCAATCATGATGGTGTTGTTTTACCGTATTGAGTTTTCCAATAAAAATTAAGCAAAAAATTAAACAATTTTCAATTTTTCACGAATCATGATAATCTACATATGAAAACCGATATGGTGTTGGTTTATCATATGAAAACCAATATGATAAAACCATGTTTGTAAAAAATACAAAAAAAAAATCCCCAAAAAAAGAGATTTTATCATTCTTTGACATCATCATCATCGTCATTCTTTGTCATAGCAAATAAGCAAGGAATTGAAAAAAAATTAATAAAGCAAAGTTAACTAAGCAAATTGAGTATGTCAATCTCTGTAACTAATTAAACAAAGAATTCAGAAAAAAAAAATTAAGCAAGATCAATTAAACAAAGAATTAAGCAAAAAATTCAAAAAAGCATTTTATACCTTCAGGTCCTTCACAGTTTCACTGTCAATAATGGTGGTGTGACGGTGTTAAACTCACAAAAATCGTTGCCGGTGTGCTCAGGCTTGGTCGTAGGTGATTGCGCCGCCGATGTTACTCACAAAAACTAACAAAATTCCACTTCCAAGCTCCAAGTGTTGCTGCAACTATTAATGCCATAGCATGTTAGAGACCCTTGCCAGCCGCTGCAAACTTGCTGGCCACCGTTGCAAGTCATTAAGACTGTAGAGGTTATTGTTGGACTTGCTGCAAAATCCATGCTAGCCGCTGTAGATGAAGGTCACCGCCGTTTCCGGGTGTTGTGTATCGCCGTTGGACGCCACAAGTGGTCGGTTGGGTGTGAGGGCTAGGAAGAGGGAACTCAAGGAAGGGTTAGAACGAAAATGGGAGTTGTTCTAACCCTAAACATTCGTAAGAGTTAGGATCGAGGATATGGGGGTCATTTTATATTTTTGTCTTTATTTTTTTATTTAAATCAACAAAAATAAAATTTGTAACCCACGAACTGTTGCTCGAATCGAATGGTTTAGCGGTTCGACTACCTAGGTCAGTGATTTTCTAACTTTTTCAATGGATTTTAAGGATTTACCAGTTTATAGTATAACTGGACCCGGGGGTTGAATGATTATCGGTTTTTCGGTCCAACCGTCCGGTCCGATTCAGTTTTGAAAACCATGGTTCCAATGGATGGATGCAACATGCGAGTTTGGTATAAGAAGTGCTTTGTAAAGATCAAAGAACAAATCCTAATTCCTATTCTACAACAAATCAGAAACAAACACATCAGTTGCCAATAATCTAATAATAGTAGTGGTTATCAACAAGTTTATTTCTGGTTGGATTTTGAAACCATATTCCATCATCATGTTTTTATAGGGGTGTCAACGGTATTCGAACCGTTGTGCAGGGATGTGCCTGGGACGTTGTGCGGCGCTACTACAAGAAAAATGGTCTAGGGTGGCAGTCGCAAAACTGTTGCATTAGGCTTAAAGACCGCCGCCGGCTTAGGTCTAATCCGGCGGTCATTCATCCACTGCATAAGTGGGTGCTGCCTTAGATTAGGACCGCCGGCTTAGGCAGGAAAAACCACCATCTTTTTCCTCCTGTTCCAATGCGGTTCAAAGTTCTCTAAGGCGGCGGTTATTCCGGACCGCCGGCTTCGCCTAACTAAGCTGGCGGTCTAAACACCTTAAGGGCATATGACCGCCGCCTTTGGTTTTATTAATGGATAAACCGGCGGACATTGACCACCGCCTTAGGTCCTTTGTGACCATTTCCCATCTTGTCCATAGCTAAGCTGGCGGATATGGACCGCTGGTAATAGAACTCTTTTTTAAAAAAAGATTTATATGCCTACTTAATTTCAGCATTTTTGATACCTGCCTTTTCCAATGATTTAACATCCAATTGGCATATTAACACTACTGTGTGATGAAGAAGTCCTTTAAAGACACTACTGTGTGCTCCTTCAATGATCTTCAAGGACGCATCAAAGTTGCGAGTTGCTTCCTCAATCTCTGATAAAGATAGCTTCGCAAAGAAATGCACATTCTCCAAGCTTTCGCCTTCCTCTGATAATGAGAGCTTCAAAAAGAAATGCAGATTCTCCGGGTTTTTGCCCTCCTCATCCCCTTAGCTTCTTTGCCTGCATTCCGTAACTGATCTTGTTCGTTTTTAGCTTCTCTGACTGCGTTTCGCAACTGATCTCGTTCGCTCTTAAGTGATATCAAGAGTTCAACCGCAGAGAAGAACTTCTGCTCCAGCTCTTCCAATGTCCACTCCAATTCTGAGTTCTGGTCTTGTGCAATCCGAAGATCCTCCAAGACTTTGTCTTGGTGTCTCTTCATGCTTTCTAGTTCTTGCTTTTCTTTTGCACGTAATTCTTCTATTTCTTCTCTTTGCTTGAGTTCATGCTTGGCCTGTCAAAATTTGGCTGTGATTGGTGAGTTTCATGAGAAGAAGATGAAAGTTCTCTAGTTTCATGTAAACTTGACTGTTGGATCACTGTACACACACACACACACTATGATGCTCCTTTCTAGGAGAACTCAAGGAGAACTACAATGGGATGTAGCCAATTAACCACAACAACAAGAACTACTAAAGTTTCATGATGAAATATTAAGCCCATGAAAAGTATCCGGCCATTTGGAAGGTCAAAGCATAACAAGGAAACACATAACTTAAGAACCATCGATGAACTTACCCTGCACTGAGCCTCCGATAGGGCCATTTCGGCTTCTTGACGCCTAGTAGACTCTTCCCGTGCTTTTTTCTTTTCTTTCTCAGCCTCCTCGATGGCTTTCTCCATGGCCTTTTTCATTTCATCATACAGATTATCATTTCCTCTTCCTTCATCCAGCTAAAAAATCCAAAAGATATTCTACAAATTAGCCAACGATATGGTATTTGAGAAACATTGGTCTCTCATAATTACAAATATTGGATTTATTTCACCTAGTTAAAAGAAATCTAACAAACTGGGTAAATAAAAATACCAAGCACTAAAGTCTTCTATTACTGAGTGTGTAGTGACCAGTTGTAGAAATACATACCAGTTGTCTATTTGCAGGAGATGAATAGCGAAGTTCCATGCTAGAATCATGCCCAGGGATTAACCCTGACCCATCATCACTCCAATCTTCTATTACTGATATTGAATCAGAAACACCAATTGCTTCCTCATTTGAAGACCATGTTAGATCCTCTGAACCCTGAGAGATTTTTTTTCCTGATATACCTTCCAATTCACCAGCAATCCCCTCACTACTTAATTGTCTCTCTGGTGTTGGTATTCTTCCAGACCCTTCAGGGGAAGAAAATGCTGCAGTTATTCCTCCATGCCCATGAGTGCTGTATTGCAAGGATCTTGCTTGTCCAAAGTCACTTTGATATGGGTTAAAAAGTGCCAAAGAATGGACCTGTGCCTGTGGAAAGGATAGAGATTTCAAGTACTCTTGTTGGCTGATTTCACTGAATGGACTGGATGGAAGATTTGGAGGGGATACAAATGCACCCTCTCTTTCCCTGTTTAGATATGATTCCAATGTAAATTTTCATGAAAATCAATAAGACTGCTTTGTTTTATCAAATCTAAAGTCTACCTCGTGCAGATGAGGAACCCCTTGCAAACAAACCATATGTGGCAGGAAAAATGTGCTTTTTCACGCACATAAATTGCTTTCTTGGATTTGAGGTCTGCCATTCTCCTGAAATAATGAGACCATCATGTTGCTTTTAAAAATTTCCCATCAAAATCATTTTGAATTTACCAGCTCATACATCCCAGAAAATTGTATTCAGACAAAATAAGCATTGCTTAATTAATACAAGGCACCAAATAGTAAAAGACACCATTCATCTTTAGCTCTCTAAGGACATTAGTAAAGAATGTCACTAATGTCTTTTCTCAAACTGAGTTACAAACTTACAACCCAAAGGGACATATTTAACAGGCTCATGAGTGGGCATGGATCTTATCCTGATTCAATAAGGTTTTATTTTATTGGTCAAAGTCCAATAAGAGGCCTTGGAGATGGAAAGCGGGGACCTAAATATTTTGGCAGATAAGCCAAGTTTTGGGTTTCATGGATGGATTCAGATAGTAGTTTTTCTTGCAAATGTAAAGTTCTTCCATCCTTTGAATGTTCAGTTTTGTACATTTTGTACAGGCTATTGAAAAGCTCATACTGTTCAAAAGCAAGTACTTGTACTAGTTATTTATCAAAAAGAAAACAAAGAAGGTTAAGTGTAATAAACCAAGGTTTTAACTCAAGATTGAACTCCTACAATCAACAGTTCGATCTTTGGGCACCGTTGGATTCTAAAACATAGTCCAATGATTCAAGAAATAAGATTCATAAATCGGTGTAGCATGTATATGACAAGTATTGTAGAACCCATAAGATCAAAAGTTTGATGATCATGTTGACTACAAAATAAAGGTAGTCCTTTTGGAGTTCATACTTTGAATACTTCTTGTTTGCTGCTGCTCCCATAACAAGATTTTTTATCCCATGACGAGTGACAAGCTCTACAATACCTTTCTTGATATCATCCATTTCAATGACAAGTTTTTCTGCCCATACCTACAAAATGAAACAATTTTAGATCAATGATGTTTGAACTATTAATCTATGACTACCAGATACCTGTACCAGGGCACCATACCATGTTCAATACCTTGATTTTTAGTTTAAATTCTATATCTGACACAGTATCCAGCCATGTCCTTCCTTTATCTGGATATCATAATTATTAATCTATAGGATAATGAGGTGAATAACTGATTAGAACATCTGAGAAAAGGTTGTGTGGATCTCATGATTTTAAAATCATGGTTCAAATTTGGAAGTGATATAGTATGAAACAGCTTTTAGGTTCAAGGTTCATAATGTTACATTAACAGCTAACTCCGAGAATAGCCATTCTCATTAGCATTTCCTTAATGTTGCCGATTTGAGCACTCCCTCTTTTTGGTAAACCAGGCATCCCTCATCAGTGAAATTATCTTCGGCTGACAAGCATGAGAACATGGGTTTGAGTCAGAGAAAACTTCATGCAAGAAAACRCARAGGTTAGATCTGAATYCATTCCACCCTTCCAGGACCCCACATAGCCTGCCCCTTATTAATTAGTATTAGAGGGTAATAATGTTTTTTTTTTCAAGGGTTAGTTGCATTGTATTAGATAACAGAAGAACTGTTATACTTGTCAATAAGAGTGCCCTTTTTCTCAAAAACAGGGGATGCTCAAATAGTAGGTCTTAAAATATTGGAGTGAAAAGCAAGAGTCATTATGAAAACTTAAACACCAACCCCTAATTGTGCTATTTTTATCACTATTTTGCTKTGTGTCATTGTATTAGCATTTCCCTCTTCCCTAGCTATTGTGTGAATTGAAATTCAAGTGAGAGTTCAAATGCATTAGCATTTGAACTGTTGATAAACTGGAACTCCTATGCATTGAAAATCCAATATCTGAAGCATAAGAATTTCCACCTAATCTTTTGACAGTTGATATCATTTGGGGAGTCAATGGGTATAGGGCTGACCTTGTCTGGGGGAATCACAAATGGTCAATGTATAGGGTCCCCATCCAATAGACAGCTCAGATACTACATATCATCTCCCCATGTTGCAGAAATCAGTAGGTTATCTTGACAATAAACCTAAATGACCGATTAGGTTACTTCTTTACATACACAGATGACATGAATATACATGTCTTTAAATAATCAAAAGAGTACAAGAAACAATGTCCCTCCTCTATTTTCAACCATTTACTTAGCTAAATCTGCTTGTCATTATTTCAATTCCACAATTGATACAAGAAATTTTTTCATTCAATTATCACTTTAGTTGAAAGACTAGCAGGGAAAAGAAAGAATAACAATACCCCTTGGTTAATACATATGACAAGGTATTCATTTAGAATGTTATGCATCCTTTGCTCTTCCAGCTCTCTGTATGCCCTAACTTCCTGTTCCTTCACTTTGTTTGCTGGAAACTTTGTACCCACTGCAAATCAGAAAAGATAAATGGCAAAAAATAAAGAAAAAACATTAATAATCAATGAAAACTACAAAATGTTGTTACAGGATCAAGAGGTTGCAGAAGAACTGGAGAATCATTTTACCTTTACCATTTTATGTAAAGGATGGGAGTAGGGGGTGAGGTGAAGTGAAGATTTAGATTGATCATACATGCTCATAAATACTTCAGAGAAGACTATGGCTTCCAACATCAATTGTACATTTCTTGGAAAAGAAGTCAGTTTAGATTAACTCCATCCTACTTTTTCCGACTTGGAACAGATTCACAGGGCTCAATGGACTTATATAATCCTCACTCCCTCGTCCTTAAAATTTTGCCCACAGCTTATCATTTTGATAATGGCTGATAAATTCTTAGTTACTGTTCAAGATTACTTATTTCAGATAACCCCATGGTTAAAAGCTAGAATCGATTGCATCGAGTTCAACTAAATTTATCCCAAATTCATCCAGACAATCAATTTGCTGTAGTCATAGATACTCCAGGGAGTTTTCTAGAACTCACAACAATGAAAATTAGGAAAGGAACATTCAAATATTAAATTATATAAAAGGAAATAAATCAGTAAAGTTTATTTTCCAGGAGTTTAGATCCCACTCACTCGGACCCGGGATGAACTGTGCCGGCTGATGAACATGAAGGATGCATATCTTCTTCCCTCAAGAATTCTTCAATGTCCAAAGTAGAGTGGATTCATTCTCTTTTACTTCTTTTCCAACCGCCACAAAAATCTTATCATAGATGTTTCTGTGGGATTGCAAATTGATGGTGCGCAATCCGGTCGGTCCTAGCTGCCGGTTACCTTGCTTCTGACAAGATCGGATGTGCCTGAAACAAGGAAGAAAATGGAGACTTCCGGGGAGGAACCCGGTTGGAACACTTCGAAGTTCAAGTTAGTGCTCTTCAGAAGGCAAGGGAAATGAGAAATTCTAAGACCAGAAAGCGTAAGAATCACATACCTTCTTCCCTATGAGACGGGAGCCTTTATAGTCACCTTGTATACTTACTTCCGAACCCCTGTCAGTTCGGGTATCATTACCTCTGCCAGATCGGGTCACTTCCTCTAACAGATCGGGTCACTTCGGGTGTCATAACCACCATTGCCAGTTGCTAGTTGCCAGTTCGGGTGTCATAACCTCCATTGTTTCTTGTCAGGGCCGTCCCTGCCACGTCTGAGATGGCGGTGGCAGGTGGCCGTTGGGGGGCGGCTGTCATGTGTCGGACCCCTAATCAGTCAGGTGTGTCGCCTCCGTATACGGGCTTCCTGGGCGTCGGGTACGGTTCAGTTAGGCGACTTGGGGCCGAAGTGGTGTGCGAGATGAAGTCTTGAGTTCAGACAGAAGTATGGCTCGAACTGCCCTTGGGTGGGCTGTTCGGGTCTTTTGCCTTTTGTGCTTTTTGTAAGGCTCAGGACCTTGAAGGGAGAGCTCGGGTTCCTCCTTGGGGAGCTTGGGGCTCTTCAGCTCGGAGCTCGGGTTGTAGGTTCCCCTTTGGGGGAGCTGACTTTTTTCTCAAGCTCGGGTTGTGGGGCCCACTATCGTGCTGAGTTGGCGTTTCTGCCAAGTCACTCTCCGTTGCTTCCACTTGTCGTATGGCCAAGGGGTTGGCATTCTGGCCCTTAGGCTCTGTAAGTGGCTCATGGCCTACTTAGTTTGATAATTTATAGGTAAAATCGTCTCAAGTTGACGATGTTCCATGCCTGGGGTATCTGTTTACCTTCTAGGGTCTCAAGCTCGTATGCTCCCCTGAGTACTCTCTTCACTCGGTAGGGTCCTTCCCAGTTCGGCCCGAGTTTGCAAATGCCGGGCTCAGGTACCATGATTTTGCGGAGGACCAAGTCGCCGACGCGAAAGTTTCGTTTCTTAACTCTGGCGTTGTAGTATTGAGCTACCATTTGCTGGTATGCTACGGTTCTGATGTATGCGAGGTCCCTCACCTCATCAAGTAGGTCGAGGTTGGTACGTAGCTCGTCGTTATTAGTATTGTCGCTGTATGCTTCCAACCGAAGTGAGGGGATTTTGATTTCGCCTGGGATGACTGCCTCCGTGCCGTAGGTGAGGTTGAAGGGAGTTTCTCCAGTGGTGGTCTTCTCTGTAGTTCGGTATGCCCATAGGACGCTGGGCAGCTCGTCTGCCCATAACCCTTTAGCTCGGTCTAGCCTAGCTTTTAGTCCGCAGAGGATAGCCCTGTTCGTGACTTCTGCCTGACCGTTTGCTTGTGGGTGTGCAACCGACGTGAAGTTTTGCCGGATCCCCATGCCTTGGCACCATTCTTGGAATTTGATGTCTTCGAACTGCTTGCCGTTATCGGAGATCAACACCTGAGGTAGCCCGAAGCGGCACACTATGTTCTTCCAGAAGAAGTTCTAGACGTTTCAAGTTGTGATGGTTACGAGAGTTTCAGCTTCAACCAACTTGGTGAAGTAGTCTACTGCCACTACTAGGAACTTCCTTCCTCCTATTGCTGGCAGGAATGGCTCAAGTAGGTCGATACCCCATTGTGCAAAGGGCCATGGGCTGGTGAGGTACTTGAGGTCGGCGGCGGGCTGATGGTGAATATTGGCGTGCTTTGGGCACTTCTCGCACTTCCTGATTAGCCCGACGGCGTCTGCTTTCATTGTTGGCCAATAGTATCCCTGTCGTAGTGCCTTCTGAGCGATGGCCCTGCCCCCCAAGTGTCCGCCGCATAGGCCTTCATGAATGTCACGGAGTACGAGCTTGGCTTCGGGAGGTCGCAAGCAGCGCAGGTAGGGGAGCGTGTAGGATCTTCGGTACAGTCGTCCGTCTATCATGACGTACTTGGCTGCCTGACGCTCTACCCTCCTGGCGGCGTTGCGTTCTGCGGGGAGGGTTCCATATAGCAGGAAGCTCGTGAGTGGGTCAATCCAGCTCGGTTCTGCTTGGGCGACAGGAGCGACCTCCTCTGCCCCCGGAGAATGCTAGGTCGAGGTAACTCCTCTATGTACACAGTTCTCATGGTGTTGTCACTGGTGCTAGCTATCCGGGACAGTGCCTCTTTTACCTTTGCCAAGTAGGCGATCATAGCTGGCCCACGGGCTTCGTATTCCCCTGTAACTTGGTTGACCACGAGGTGGGAATCGCTACAGATAACTATGTGTTTTGCCTTTACTTCTTGCGCCAGAGCTAGCCCTGCTATCAACGCCTTGTATTCCACCTCATTGTTGGATGCCGCGAACTCGAAGCGTAGCGTGTACTCCAGTTTTGTGCCACTCGGTCCGCGAAGAACTACACCGGCTCCGCTGCCCTACTGATTTGAGGAGCCATCTACGTGAAGGATCCAGGGCTCTTCATCTCAGTTCGCGCTTGACCTAAGCAGGAGAAATACCGAACTGGGTGCGATCTCACGGGGCTTGGACTCAACCGGCCCAGGAGCACCGAGCTCACCCGAACTGGGAGCCTCGTGCTCAACTGGGCTGAGGACCTTGGAGCTGAACGTGCATTCTGCAACAAAATCCGCCAAGGCTTGAGCTTTTATAGCGGTTCGGGGCTTGTACTGG